CTATAAATGGACTATCCAACAAAAAAGAATTTTTCAAATCGGACCTGAGATATGCGCGTTTAAACAAACTCTTCCGCTTTATAATATTAGTATAGATTTAATGCGTTTTGTTTTTTTTTTATGTCATTTACGCAATTTCCATCATGTCCTCAATGTTAGTCAGCATCCAAATTAAATAAATGAATCATTTAAATTGTAAACAATAAACGGCCAGTGACCCACTCTGAAATGTTACGTCGCCATATTGGGTTTTGACAGATCAACAAGTTCGGATAATCACATTAGCATTTTTAATGTTCGAACGTAGTTTATTAAAGTGTTTTTATGATAAATAAAATTTTAAAAGATACATTTTTATAACAAAGATGTGATGTTTTTGTCCGAGTGACTACGTGTGTGTTTTTTTATACTGACTGATATTATACTGACTGAAAATTTTACTAGTATAGTGCCAAGTTTCAGAAAGAGAGTTTAACAGTGGTAGAGCCCGCTTTAACATCTTCGCACGAATCGGCCCGGCTCGGCTGGTGACCACACAGAAGACAGGCGTCAAGTGGAAGCAATTCCGCGTTTCGTCTGATGAGTGTGCGTCCCGGAGATCTGATTTAGTCCTTTTTCCCTTCCTACCCTTTTTCTTATAAAGAAAGGATGGGAAGTGGCAGTGGACTTTTCGGATGAGAGGATGCATGGGAAGGGAAAATATTTTCTTTCTGTGCATCCTCTCCTCCGTCAATTTAAGGTAGGCAACGCATATGCAATTGCGTATGTCTATGGGCAACGGTCACTTCGCTACTTCAGCGATTTCAAGTGGCCGCTCGCTCGTTTGCCACCTTATGATATAAAAAAAAAAGATGTCATGGACGGAGCGAAGTGGAAGTGATGGATTGCGAAAGCTGACCCCACCACCTTGTGGGATGCAAGCTAGGGAGAGAGAGAGTGTGTCATTCGATTCGTATTCTTCTTCAATGTCATGGTCACTATATATATGGATAGTCGATTACTTCGAAATGACAGTTTTTGTTTCATGATTTTACGTGACAGTTCAAAACCACCGCTACTATCAGCGCTGTAATTGCGAAAATCAAAAAGGCACAGAACACCACGTCTTATAACCAGCCCATTTATAGAAGTCAGTTGTCATAGTCGTGTTTTTTTTTAATTAGCAACTTTTGAAATTCTTAAGTGTTTTCAAACCTAGTTACTCTTTGATTAAGATTTCGCGGTCAAAGATTAATAATTTTTTTTTATTGGTTACAAGTTCGTTGCACTTTCAATCACCTTAAAACCCACACAAAATTGCAAGAAGCACGTAGGTGGTAACCTGACGGAAATGTTAGGTCGTATATGTGACTTTCAGATAAATCATACGCTGCTATGACTAGCTGTCGCCTGTGACTCTGTGCGAAATTAATACTTAGTAGCCTATGTGATCGTCGGTGTCGGTCAAGCACTTGATTTGCAATCTGCAGGTCCTGGGTTCGAATCCCGCCGTGTACCAATGTGTTTTTCGATTTCCGATTTACATATGTACATTTATCCAACGTTCTTACGGTGAAGGAAAACATCGTGATGCAACCTGCACATATCTGAGAAGAAATTTGAAGATATGTGTCAAGTCAACCAATAGTTGGCCAGTGTGGTTGACTATAGCCTAATCACCCTTAACTTATGGTAGGCTCCGAGCCCCTCGGTGGGGACGTATAGTGAGCTGATGATGATGAGCCTATGTGTTCTTCCGTCATGTATCCAGCAGTTTCTTTATTCCGTGCGGACTAAGTCGCACGGATATCTAGTAAGGTTTTAAATCTTTGATAATTGTCAAGCTAATCTTAACTCTTACTAATATTATAAATGCGAATGTTTAGATGTAAGTTTGTTAGAAGGTATCTCCAGAATGGTTTAACGGAACGGAAGAACACAAAGCCTACTATTTTTTTTAACTACGCGAAAGCAAGAAAGGAGTCGCGGGCGACCGCTAGTATGTATAATTAAAATGTGTCATAGGCGAAAATATGGCGTTGTTCCAGTTTTATTAATAAAATTATACAAAGTGATAAAACAAAGATGTAAAATGGCGCAATTTACCTTGTTGGACGACCTTGTTGTACTTTTAAAGGACGAATTCATAAATTCGTACAAATATCCCGTTTAAATTTAAATACATCAAAATGTAGGGCGCTTTACGCTTTTTATAAGACGTTAAAATTTGTCGGCCATATTTTATTTACTTGTCAAAATGTCCCGCGTAATTCAGGTTAGGGGCGCGTTCCGTTTTACGTTTGATTTATTTATTATTATACTAGCGGACCCGACAGACGTTGTCCTGTCTACACGTCTTTAATTTGAATAAATTAATATGAAGTTAATATTTGATGAAAATTGTGAATCTCACCAACCAACCATTCCCAGATCCCCTTGAACACACACAAAAAATTTCATCAAAATCGCTCCAGTCGTTTGAGAGAAGTTCAGTGACATACACACTCACAGAAGAATTCTTTAGACTTCTACTTTTAGACTACTAATTATTTTAAGGTTTTTTTTACCACAAACAAATTAACAGACTATTAATCCGTATTTTTTTTGCACAATTTTTTTTTTACTTACAAAGTAGTAGGAGCGTTACGAGACTATTCTAGGAACTTGATACCTTGTAGCCGTACTCAGAGTCGTAATGTTCACTAAGGATATGTTAGCTACTATGAGTATTAAAGTTGGAATAGTAAGAAATCTGAAATACAATACGTATCATGATAAAATAGACCTTGTATTTAGCCTTAGTTACACAGATAAGGACAACCACATGTTTCTAGGCGTCACCCATCTCTTTCTAGTATAATGTAACCTAGGTATGCTAGAATGTGATAGCTCTGACCTAGTTATTGAAGGTAAATGGCCCTTTTTTGGGAAACATATCCAGTTATACCATGACATCATTGGTACGGGATCTGAATTGACTAATGAGTCATATAGTTGTTTTCTTGATATCTTACTAATATTATAAATGCGAATGTAATGCATGTTTGTTAGTACGTATCTCCAGAACGGTTGCATGGATCTCGATGAAATTTGTCATACATATAGAACATAGTCTGGTAGAACACATAGATTACTAATTTAGTTTTTTTATTAATATGTAAAAGACATATAGAACATTAGTAGAAATGATTTGATATGGATGGAAGGATGGATGTTTGTTTGAAGATATATCCAGAACGGAGTATGGATCTCGATGAAATTTTGTCACAGATGTAAAATAGTCTGGAAGAACACATAGGCTACTAATTATTTTTTTTAATTCTGCCGCGAATTATAGTTACAGTTATTTACGTACAAAGTTAGTTAAATTTAATTATTTTAAACATTTAAATGTGCTCTACTTTCTCTACAATCATTGTTTTATATGTGTTAATATAGTTGTCTCTGTCCGGTCAAAGTGAAAGAAAGAGACGGCGATATTTAATATTTCACTGCAATGGAAACCATAGAAAAAACAATTGCTTGACGTTATTAAACGCTTTCACGATTATTCGCTTACTTTTTTTTTGTTGCAAATTTGACGATGTTGCTAATTTTATTATTAACTAGCTGACGCCCCCGTGGGTTTAAAAATAAATTTAATTAGTAGTCTATGTGTTCTTCCAGACTATGTTCTATATCTATGACAAATTTCATCAAGATCCGATGAGTCGTTCTGGAGATATCTTCAAACAAACATCCATCTGTCCAAAAATGTACATATGTAAATGTAACACATTGCTACATGTTTGGATTCGAACATAGGACATGATTACAAGACAATTGTTTAACCTTTCGTGTGTTCCATTTTCTTATTAATATCAAACGTTACGTAATTAAGTAGTAACATAGCTTATCTTTAATTATTTATATAATAAAAACACGTGTGGAAATTACTACGACGTATAACGGTTTACAATTTTGACTTGACATTTCCCCCCATTTTATTAACATCGTCTATATTAATATGCAATTTCCAAACGCATTTTTTTTTTAATTTTATAAATCCGCAAACGAACCTGTCAGCTGTCAACTTATTTTCGTAATTAAAAAAAATAATTAAATGTTTTATTTGTCTCTGCCTCCTCCTATGAATAACGGATGCGAGTTTAAAAACAAAAAATAACACATCCTGGCCTTACGCCACGGGCAAACGGCCCCTATGTCATGTGAATGACGAAATTAAAAACAAAAACACCCGGCCTCAGAGAAAGTTCAATGCAATTTATATTTTTGGCGCACGACGCCGCCATGTTGGATCTTTATTGTGGATAGTCCTTGAATTTAATAAGCGTTATTTATTTTGAATTTCGTCCATTAATATCTTACTAATATTATAAATGCTAATGTATAGATGGATGGATGTTTGGTTGAAGTTATCTCCAGAACAGCTGAACAGATCTCGATGAAATTTGGTATACAAATAGAGCATAGTATGGAGAAATATTTAGGTTATGTTTTTTTATCCCGCGCAGACGGAGTCGCGGGATGAAAGATGCAATTTATTCTTTTCCGGAATTTCCTTATTTTTTTGTGGCAACCCTATTCCATTAGTGCACGAGTTTCGAACAATTGCGTCTCGCGATATGTTCTGAATGACGGATATCTCGACCTTTTCCCGCCATTCCTTTGTTCAGACGCGCGGGAAAATGCTATTTCTGCGCCATCTTGGATTTTCCGTTTCGCGCCATTTTTAGTAAAAAACCAAGGTAATATGTTTAAACGGCCGTTTATTCGTTATCACCGTATCCATCCGTCTCTTTCATCTTTGTATTCTCTTTCGTGTAACGTTAAATTTTCTTTCGTGACGGAATCGAAACTTCACTTTTGATGTTTAAAATATAACTTTCTTTGTTTCAACCAATATAATGTTTGGCTATAAATTAGTTGCATCGGTCAGTCGCCTCGTTATAGCGATTTGTAACAAGGTTGCGGTGAATTTTAAACAAACCCCCCCTCCCACTCTTCCATCCCGTATCCCGATGCCAGTGTGTCTCCGGACGTCACAGAGGGAGAACGTGTCGCGAGACGCGGGAGCATTCCCGCGTAAACAAAGACATTGTTCGAAAGTGCTAAGAAATTGTGCATCTTTTAAATACGGAATAGATTTGTGTATTTAAATTTGGAACTACTTTTAGGTGTTTAAATACTGGTAGCTAAGAATTAGAACGTTTTTTTTTTTTTTAATTTTGAAATTATTTTTTTAAATTGTTTTTATATTAACAAAGAGAAAGTTAAAATTCTCAATTTATTATTATTTTTAATATTACATTAAAACAAATAAATTTTACCTCATTTTTTTAACGTGAATATATTTTTTTTATATTTAAATGTACTATAATAATAGCTGATGTTCAAAAAATTGTTGTTTATTTTTCTAGACTGATTTTATTATAAAATCTAGTTTTAAACTAGTAAAGAACAGTTCCCATGACGTGTTTTTCTCAGAACATGCAATTCTCTGTTGCCAGAGTTATGTTTGCGATAGTAATGTTTATTTTGTTGAATCTTTTTGGGATTTTGTCGTGAAATTGTTATTAAATATTTCTTCAATATAAATCTATTGCACTTAGTCTTGATGGTCACTTAGGGGCATCCTAAGTGTAATTTTATTATAAATCTTTGTAAACCGTGAATATATCTATATGTAATGAGTAAACGGATTGAAAGTCCAGTTTTTTATATATATATTTCAATTGTCATATTATTCCAAAGTTCAATTTGTAGCTATTTTAGTTTAAAATGTTAATTAAATTCGCTTTTTCCATTGAATTTGTGTTAGTTATTTTAATTATTTGTAATTGAGTCTGTCAAATGTTTTAAAACAAAAGAATTTTATTGTTTTTTACTATCAGCAGGAAACATTAGCATCGGAAACTGTAAAATTAGTCACAGCGCCATCTATTGTATGTTGGTATTAAACTAGCAAATGTCAAAAAGCGCGGTAAAAATTGGAAACTTTAGCGGATTATAAATTTAAAATATATTTTTGTGACCGCTGTTATATTCAAATGTTTAATATCTTTATTTAGGCGATACGAAGAAGATTGCCGAATCAAAGTTTTGGTGTAAAATAAAAAAAACGAGTAAATCAGTGATAATGGTTAAAAGGAAGTTTATGTTGAGACAAAATGGCGTAAACAAGTGACGACAAAACAAAATGTCTCCTGACAAACGTAAAAGTGTTGGTGTAACAGTGTCTAGAACTTAAAATAGCTTTTAAATCTAATATATTTGATCTCAATATAAATATAGTGCTCAAAAATGATTGCATTAAAGAAATTATATGGCGACGAATTGCTACGCCTAGCTTTAATTCTAAGTCTTTTAAAATCAAACCCAGATGAATACTTACTTGATGAGAGCCAACAGATATTAGCTGGTAATATATCCAATGGATCTGACTGGTCTTTAGAACAAGAAGCTAGAACATTAATCAGACCAAGGTTCGTACATCCGAAATCACTTGATAATGTACTAATGAATTACGAGAGGCGATTGTTTGAAGAGCTAAATTCGCTTGGACGTTACACTGGTAGTAATTCCCGTGTCCTTCATACTTATTTATTGAATAATGTATCGACGGACACAGTACAAAATATACAATCATCGGGTGCAGACACTGACGACGATATTTATTCAGACGATAACGTAGCTAATGAAATTAAAGTTGAAAACGAAGAAACTAACGAATCAATAACAAATCGAGAAGATAATGAAACTAATCAACCAGATCTAGTAGTAACTTTATCATCGAATTTTTTTAATAGAACAGATGATGTATTCTCCGAGATAGCATCAAGATCTTTCGATGTTAATGAATTATTAGTACAACCGGAAATGATGATTAAGAAAGAACCAGATTTGGAGCAGGATTTATTGGTTAATGTTAAAAAAGAAAATGATTCAGACCTTTATAGTGATAACGCAATCGATTTTGTACCATATTTCACTGATAGAACGGAGAAATATGAAATAGACGAACCTAATTCTGTGTACCATCAAAATCTAGCTGATCTCCAAGATTATAATGACATGTTTGATGTAAAAGAATTAAGGAATAATCTAGACTTAGATGTGAAACAGCAAGAGAATTTGGAACAATATCTTTTGGAGAATACACCTTTGGATGCGGAAGTTTACGAATTAGCCCCAATGTTTGAAGAGGAACTGGTGTTGGATGTGAAGAGGGAAAGAGCAAGCACTAGTTTCACTTCAGCAAGTTCTAGTGGTGTGAGTGAAATGGATGTATCTATCGATGTAAAGTTGGAACCAGATGAAGGTCATCACAGCGGAGACGAATTGACTCAAGAGGTAAGAATTTTAATACTGCTTCTTTCCTGATAACGCTAAAATGGTGTCATTCAATTGTTATTCTATCCTGGAGTGTCATAGGTCTACAGTCGGGTTATTACTTTTTTAAATTATTTTACTTATAGACCATTCTTCGTTCAATTAAAAATTTGATTTTTTAAACATGTTGATAATGTACTAACGTTTCAAGAATTCTTGAAATAATTCTAGTAGTTTTTGAGTTTATTAGTTACATAGTAAATTTGAACTATTTTTGTTCTTCCCGACTTTTTAAACATGTTGATAATGTAGGATATAGTAAGGGTTCAAAAATTCTTTGAAATAACTCTAGTAGTTTTTGAGTTTATTAGTTAAATAGTGTTCGAAATTTGAACTATTATTCTTCTTTCTGGCGTTACTCCACTCATGTGGTCGGTGCACAAGATTTTGAACTATATTTAAGGAATTAGAATAAAGATACCAAACTAAGTATTTGACCTGATAATTTTAAATATATTTTCAATTTGTATTTACTTGAATTACGTATTTAATCAGTGCGTAACGGAATTATAGATTAATTTATTCAACTAAAGCCATATTGTTCGATCATGTCAAATGTCAAAACAACTTTGCAATTGTAATTCGCCGGGCAATTGAGTTCGTTGTTTTTGTAGTGGAAAAATTTTACGCGAAACTCACCGACCTTTATACAGGACAGGCTATAAGGCGTAGTATTTTGTGCCTGGTGTGATGGGTAGTGTTGGAAAATCACACTAATAATACAGTACAACTGGCGCTTTTAAGATCTGGGTAAAATAAAAATCGCCAATCAGTGTCCTGGCTAAAGGATATAGTAGAGGTTAGTGGATACACATTGTTAAATGTCAAAAAGTCAAATCTGAATTAAAAATTAAAGAGACGAACAATATTTAGTAATAATCGATATAACCGTCTTAAAAATTTAGGCGCCCAATTATTAAATTCTGGCGCCGCTAAATGAAGCTACGCCATTGGTTGTCGCCTGGCGCGCAAACGCATGGGTGAATACGGCCCTGGACTATGTTTTTGTGTGCTTTTTAGCAAGTTTGCGGTTTTTTTTTGTGAGAATTTTTAACATATAACGTAGTAATATAATAATTTCCCATTGTGGTTTAATTGGATGTTGATAATGAAATGTTTGAATTTAAAACTATTTTGTGTCGACGCCAATAAAAAAAAAGATTGTAAGATTTAGTACTAATAGTAGGAGATCCAAAGCGGAGATTTTTGGATTTGCTGTAGCAATCTTACTAATATTATATATGCGATCCGGCTCAACGGATTTTGATGAAATTTGGCATACATATAGAACATAGTCTGGAAGAACATAGGCTTTTTTTTTTAATTCCGCGCGGAAGGAATCGCGAGCGATAGCTAGTTAAATATAAGGAAACTTGCATTCAATCTAGTACTCCTATTACAAAAGAAATGCTTGATATAGAGTCGTCGCGCGAAGTAAAAGAAATCGAATCGAAATACTGAAGGGTGTCTGATATTCGGTGAGTTTATTCTATTCGCTTCTTCCCTATTATAGGCATATTTTTCGCTTAAATTTAACTATGGTCTTTTAATAGTTTTATAATATATAAATATACTTAACTGGGGTACCTTAATATAAAGGCTTTGCACTCAATCGATCCCAGTCTCAAAATTGAGGGCAACGCACTAATCTAGAGCTAAGTTCATCTCCCGTCTGCCGAAAGAGGGCGTTAACCCTAAAAGTTTGGAATAACTTAGGATAAAAGAGTAATTTGTGATTAAAAAAATCTTAAATACAATTAGTACTGTCGCCTGCTGCATCATACATTAATCATCAGCTCACTATATGTCCCCACTGAGGGACTCGGAGCCTACCCTAAGTTAGGATCACGCCTAGGCCGTAGTTACTACTACTACAACTGGCCGCTGCGAGTTGGTTGACTTCACACATATCTTTGAATTTCTTCTCAGATATGTACAGCATCACGATGTTTTCCTTCACTGAAAGAACGTCGGATAAATGTACATATGTAAATCGGAAAACATATTGGTACATAGCAGGATTGGAACCCAAGACCTGCAGCTCACAAGTCAAGTGATAAAACCCCTGAGCCACCGATGCTCTCATCTATCGATCTCGATGCTCATCCATTAATAAAGAAACTTTATTAGTAGTCTATGTGTTCTTTCAGACTATGTTGTGTATGACAAATTTCAGCAAGATTCTTACAGTCGTTCTGGAGATATCTTCTAACAAACATCTAAACATTCGCATTTATAATATTAGTAAGATTGTAGATAGCCTCTTACTGTAAGAGAAGTCTGTTGGTTTGAGTGTCTTTAGAACTAGTTATTACCTCTGACTTTGTCTGCACGGAATAAAAAAATAAGTATAAGTATAAAGTTAATATTGAATTTCAAATGTACACACCTAAAGATTGCCTCAAAAACTACAATTGTTTAGAGTGTGTTCAAAAAATCCATCCCATACAAAGTAGTTAACATTTCAGATCTAAAGATTATGGCGTTGTATTGATCGTTTGAGACTCGTGTGAGATGCGTCATTGATAGTAAATACACGTGGTTTATAAATACATATACGACGCATATGTAACCTAACTAGCTGTCGCCAGCGACTCCGTCCGCGCGGGATTAAAAATAGATGTTGGCCGATTCTCAGACCTACTCAATATGCTCACAAAATTTCATGAGAATCGGTCAAACCGTTTCGGAGGAGTATAGGAACGAAAATTGTGACACGAGAATTTTTATATATAAGATATAAGACTAGACTAGCAGTTATTAAAGTGTGTCAGCGGAGTCTTAGCAGTCTTACTAATCCACGATACACGAAGATAACTAAACATAAAAAATGCTAAAGTACAGTAAAGTTATCATCGTCAGCTCAATATATGTCCCCATTGAGGGCCTAGACACCCTTAACATAGGGTAGGGTCTGTGCCCCTCAGTGGTGGACGTATAATGAGCTGATGACGATAAGGTCGTAAGGAAAAAACTCTTAAAAAATGTAATATTACGCATCTATTTAAAGATAGGATAATTGAACTAGGTATGCGTAAAAGAATAACTTATTCTAAGGCCTAGAATCTAGGTTTACCATCGTACTAATATTATAAATGTGAATGTAAGTATGGATGTTAGTTAAAAGGTATCTCCAGAACGGTTGCATGGATCTCGCTGAAAGGCGGGCATGTAGAACATAGTCTGGAAGAACACATAGGCTATTTAGGAAGTCGCAGTCGACAGTATTATGGAAAATGTCTTATGAATAACTGAATCATACGCGAGTACAATTTTAACTTAGGACCCTGACCTTTATTGATTAAGTTATTAACCGTAAGATGGCGCTTTCTAATTGGGTCATTTAATATTTTAGTTCGATGTATTTTTGTACGTGATCTATACGAGAAGTTTTTAAAATATCTGCGTACGACGTTGACCTTGCGTTGCCTTGACCGTGACTGACCTTGGTTTTGCACAAATATTTAGTCTAATTTTTATTCTAGAACATCGATGGTGTAGAGTACGCCATCTGTCGGTGGTTTTATGAAACACCGCGGAATTTACACGCTTAAATAAAGCCGAGGAAATGTTATTACATTTGGATACAATGTTAATTATCATTTTTTGTTATAATAGTGCACATTCACCGTTGATTTCTGAGACCGAAATCTCCAAAAAAACATATCGTCATCCCTGTCATCTGTCAAAACAGAGATAATGATGTGTTTTAAACGGAGTTCTTGCTATCAGAAAGCAATGTTGACGTTGAATTATCAATTTTTCAACAGACTTGTAGCTTGGTTTTAACATTTCTCTTAGCGCCATCTATTGTTGAGTAGCTCCATCTTGCATTATACCTTTGTGATTTAGTATAACAAAGTTATAGATTCCGATAAATCCTACTAGATGGCGCTGTTATAATTTTTATAATCGACACAAGATGGCGTTATCGTAGTTACATAACGTAGGAAATCTTTCGATGACAGTCAACTTCAATATGTTATCATTTAAAACTTGTTATTTAATTTGTTTGTAATAACATGTAATTATTATAACAACGGAAGATTTTATATTTTCTATGACGCAATAATATTTGTCTAGTTTTGTAGTTAATTAAATCTGGCTATTTATTGAATATCTAGTCGAATACGCGTAAACATTAGTTTTAAATAACGCTTAAAAAAAACTAGAACCTTTTTTAAAGTTACTAGAATATATAAATCTCGACATGGTTGAGATTAAATGGTTTTTTCAATCATTTTAAATATGAAGATTTTAGTTCTATATTTTTCCGCAATATGGCGTCGACATATTTATGACCAATTAAGTTTAGTTCATTGCATAATATTACAATTTCTACTACTACTACTACCGTGCGGTTTGCGCGAAACTTCCTGCCTCTCACAGCAGCGTTGTGGAATGGTCTGTCCTCGGCGGTATTTCTGAACCGTTACGACTTAGGGTCCTTCAAGAAGCGAGCTTATCACCACCTCAAAGGCCGGCAACGCATCTGTGGTTCCTCTAATATTGCTGATGGGCGTCGTTGAACACCTCGGTGTTCCCACTGCTCGTTTGCCACCTTCTGTTATAAAAAAAATTAGTAATGTTTATATTAACGTAAATAAAGTTCAAGAAAAAGAACAAAAAATATTGAAAAACATGTATTTGATAAGATATAGTCAAAAAATATTTTTTTTATGTATACAATGCAAATAGCAAAAAAGGACGTAACAATATACATATTACTAAATCTGGTGACAGTTTTCTGTATAAAATTATTAACCCTAAGTGGGAAGGATAGGTATGTTCATTTAAACTCTTCTTTATAAATAGACTAGCTGTCGCACAAGACTATGTTCGCGCTGAATTTAAAAAAAAACTAAATTAGTACCCTATGTGTTCTACCAGACTATGTTCTATATGTATGACAAATTTAATTAAAATCCGTTAAGCCGTTACGGAGATATATTCAAACAAAC